GGTGGCAAAGGCCGGCTGATGCAGGGCTTATAAAGAAGTTGACGAATTATTATGGCTGGGCCATTAAGAGCCACCCCCAACGATGTTCCTGGCATGGAGAGGGCCATCATGGCCACTTATTACCATGTAACATCCACAGACCAGGATCCACACCACGACCAGTGCCCCAGTGGGACTGACTCCTGGTGCCCGCCACAATCAGGCATTGGCCAAGGGAGAGCCGCTGCCGCCTCACAAACATAAACTGCCCCCTCACGTGCGAGTGGCACTGCTGCCAATCTACAAGCGCCTCCGAACAAAGAGCTCCTTGAAAGGTAGTGCGCAGGGAAAAACCCAGAACGCTGTGGAGAGTATGAACAGCCTCATTTGGTCACTCCAGTCCAAGAAGCCAGTTCGCCTCCCTTCGAAGTGTGGAAAGTGCAGTTGCCAGATGCAGTCTGCCGTTTCAATGGTGGCTGCAAGAGTGCGCTGCAAGAGATCACTGCTCAACTGGGCTTCAATCCAGGAGGACTGCTCTTTGCGGCGAGCAGCCGAAAAGGATGCCAAAGGGTGAAGAGGGCTCAAAAGACGCATTGTTCCACAACAAAGAAGCGCAAAACTGGGTTGCGCTCTACAGAGGCCAAGGCCACAGCATCTCAGGATTACTGCCCAGGAGGATTCTGAGTGTTTTAGGCATGTTGTGAACTTCCAAACAAGAGTGAACTTTTAAGTCAGTTTTCTCAACTCTTGATTTTCGCCTATGTGCCTTCGCTAGAACATCTGTCATTTTTTAACAAAGACTCTTGATAGAGTCGTTCCGTTTTTTTGCACTAGGCTCAGGAGGCCCTTTAGCAGTGCAATTAAAGCTTTATCTCTCTTCTTACTCTTCATTTAAAATTTTTAGAACACATTTTATAATTACTGCGATGTCGTGCGCCAAAACAACATCCATGTTTTGGAAATTTTATTTATGGTTACAAGAACTAGAAAAATCAACTAATAGCTTCTTTGCACAAGTGATGCTTTGGGAACATAATAATATGAAAAACTAATTTCATTTAGCAATAATTATCTCTTTAAGTGCGAAGAGCATTAATTAGTATAATTATGCTTGTAACTCAAAAAGTACAAGAGGTATTTGGAAAACGGTTTTCATATTTGGAATCCTCACAATCATCCACATACACACACCAAATTTCATCACAAACAGTACATTAATAAAAAAATTAGTTTTACTTGCCACGTCCCCCCTTAAGCACACGGCAGGCCCAACGCGTCTTGGTGGCTTTCAGCTGCCGTCACCAGTAGCAAACACAAAACTCGTTGACTCCGAAGGGCCTACCGGTGGCCTCGTTGCCGTTTTTAGTGCACGATCAATCACTTTCAACAAGCAGCCGTGTAGCTTCAGTATTGCCCCATAACGTGACAAGATTACCGACACAACATACAAAACACGCTGCAGCACATAATTGCCGCTTTGGATTGGATTGAATTTCCGTGCAATTGTAGCATGCCTGATGGTTAAGAGATGGCGTGCGCTATCATCATCAACAGCTGGAACGAGCAGACAATGTTATTGCGGCAATTTTCGGGGGTGCGATAATTACTCGAGGAAAAAAAATCATGTTTTTGTTGGGCGTAGGGGGGCTGGGGGGTGAGAATTATGCGAGTGCGAGGATTACGCGAGTAAATACAGTGTTATGATCCCAGATGTAACGATCCATCGGTTAAAATGACCATATTTCAGTGCGCTAACAATTTTCCTATGCTACTCTTTGAAACTGAGTCCATATACAGGAAACATTTTTTAAAGCCTCGTACTTTTACAACGAACATTTCTAACTAAGTGGCGGTAAAAATATGGTGCGTAGGATGCGAAAAAAAGAAATGTTACAAGCATTTGAAGCACGACATAGGTGCTTAATCGCGTGTGCCCCGCTGCTGTTTACTTGCGACGAAAATACCGTAGATTGCAGCGAGCATCGCATGCAGACTTAGGACTTTGCGAGCTAGGTCCCTCACTTTCCAGTCGTTTCTTCGCCAGTAGACTGGAAGTGAGGGGAAAAAAAAAAAAAGGAGGCAGCATAAGGACTTGTGGTCAGCTTTCGCACAGCAAACTTGCGTTCTTGGCATCTACAACCACCGATTAACCAACAATGCCTTCGAACCAAGAAGCCATAAATAGGAGAAGCGATAACTTTCACTGCGACGCTCAACCTCTTCGACACCACAATGAGTTGCAAAAGATTTCGGCTATTGCAGAGATCGGACGATTAGTAATAACGACTTCGGCACGGTTGTGGCAGTGCGTTAATGGATAAGCTTTAGAGAAGAGCGGTTGCGCGGTAGCCAGTGGCGATGAACGGGCCATTTTGACTTATCGCCGGCAATCTTATCTCAATCATCTGCAGATAGCTTCTCCGCATAGTAACGGCGGTCAAGCGCGTCATGCTGCCTTTAGCAAGTTCGCCGCCGTTGCGTCGTGTGAGGCTGCTGCGCTGCGTTGCTCGTAAAATTTTTTTTGTTGTGTTAAACTAACAGGCTACTTGCCGCACCTGAGCACGATTCTAAGTGACGCATGCACGAAGAAAGAACAAAAGCACGCATACATCACTGCAAGCGAACTGGCATGCGACGGTGAGAGCCGAGTAAGCGATGTGCTGCATGCAACTAGCCAGGAATGATTGGTTCGACGTAGCGGTACCAGGCTTCAGTGGAATAGCGAGAGTTCATTGCGAACGGGGTTGAATTCACTCGGGAGCAAACGGGTGTTGTTTAACACACGAAAAGGCCTAACTTGTCAGCGGAGGGGCTGTTCTTCGCACTTTTGAATAAAAATGCACAAGGAAAAAAAATGGTTTCGCCATTAAGTGGACGTTTTTATGGGCGGGTCAATATACAACAAACCATGATATACGACGATTTATTGCGGCACTTTTGAGTTCATTATGAACGGCTTCGACTGTATTCGTAATAGCGCCTTTTTTTTCCTCTCACAAACAAGCTCTTAAACGCGCGCGCTCTGCCGTTTCCAGAGGACAGCAAACATCAAGCTAGCGCGACCGTTCCCCTGAACAGGTGTACATCGACTAAAGTATCGGAAGGCGTCCAGGGCATGCCCTTACCCTCTACACACGCCACAGACTAACGCCCGTGCAGACTGAAAGAATGCGGGACATTGTAGTTGGGCGGGTCGACTACTTCTGTAGACGAACCAGCGAGACGAGTCCCTTTTCCCTAGCTACTGTACCCTAACTGTCGCTGTGGTACGTGCTACATGCCGAACAATCATATTGAAATATTTGGGAAACCTGGAAGGATTTAATCAGAGGAGATAGAGGGTAGGGCGAGTGGCGAACTCGGCCAAGAAGTTATGATGTCGAGTGGTTCGAGTCGTAGTGCGGTCAGTTGATCGTGAAGAATCGAGTGATGACACCATCCGTGCACTGTTTTGTTGAGAGTCGCCGGGATCACGATCAGCGCTGGTGTTCAAGTGTTTGCTGGAACAGAAATATTTGAGAACCGTTCAGAGGATTGTGGCTACACACTAGTGGTGCATATTCAAGACCTCGGAGTGTTCTTGTACAGTCTGTAATATACAGTTAAACCTGCTTATAACGCACCTCCATATAATGAATTCCTCTATATAACAAATTTTTCTATTCCAAGCAGTTACTCCATAGAAGCACATGTATTTGTGACCTCTATGTAACAAAGTAACAGTGGAAAACAACCTTGATATAACAAATTTTCCCCACGGACAATCTAGGAAGTTCGCCCCGGATTTGGTACGAGCATGCATCTTCCGCGGGCACTTAGCGCTGAAGCGCGAAGCGGTGGCTGCGCGCTTGGAGCAGCAGGTGAGAGCGAGCACTCGTGATGCGCACAGGTGCGCATGAGGTGGGAGGCCAAGCCTGCGCCTCACAAGCTGGCGCTGCCATCGTTCTTGTCACCGTGGACGCATGCGCGGATGGCCCTTCTCCCACCAAACCAAAAAGTTGGCAGTGCCACGCTTTTAGTTAGCGTCACATACGTGGTGAATAATAATAATGCAGAATAATAATGCAGTTTTTTTATCACTAAATAACTGTTCTGGGTTTGCTCTGCTTTCAGTTCGGTTTGTTAAAATTCTGCTTTTATTTTAAATTATCGCACCGAACCTGCATAGAACAAAACCCTCTTTATATAGAATGTTTTCTGGAATTTGTAAATTTACTTATATCTGGCTTGGGGTTTATGTGATTCCATTTGTAGCACGATAGTTCGTTCCCGTTCTTCTAAATACCCTCCAAGTGATTTTGTGGATTGTACCTGATGCCTGCCGAGTGTGCAAGTTTGTGTGATGCAGAGTGGGCCCGAGGTGAACTACAGGTCCGAGGCGCCACTGCGGTGGCATGCGAGAAGCCACACCTTCTTCACTATCTAGCAGCCGGGCAAATGGTGTGACCAATTGCTTCACCTTCATTCAAACATATCTGCGTATCTTTAGCGAGAGAATGTATGGTCTGTGGCAAAACCTAGAGGGCCCGACGTCTTTTCCTAGTCGAGATGCGCACCTTGGAGATCGCCTCATTCTCATCCTGTCTGCCATTTTGACCTACTGTTGCGCCACTATAGTCGCTGGAATGATAGAACTTTTGGGCGGCAAGGGCTCTGCATCTTCTTTCTAGTGTTTGTCAGTATCTTGAGCAGCCCCACAAAGAGGGAATTGGGAAACGGACCTTTAGCACCAAATTTTTACAAAGCCAGAATACTCCTGATGCACGAAATTCTCCATGTCAGCTTCACATGTTGTCCAGTAGCAGAAGAAAGTTTTATTCCACCACCAATGGCAAGATGGCAACCTCATTTTTTTTTTTTGTGTGTGTGTGATAAAGGCTGGTGCTAAGTTTGTCCACAAGCCTTATATTCTCAAGCTGCTGCGCTTTATTTTTGAAAAAATGATATGCATTTTCTTTGCAGCTTCATCTTGTTATGGGAATGTGCGTGGGAAACTTGGTGTTGTGTTTACTGTGTTGCAGGTATCGCCCAGCCACAGACTCCTCCCCAGGGCTCAGCGATCCGCGTTCCGGCAGCTGCGTCATTAGCATCTGGCCTACGAGGTGATCATTTTCTTATAAAAAAGTATGCCTTGTCAAGGTTTATAGATTGCATAAAAAATTATTTTGGAGGCTTCACATTTCTTAATAAGTGTGGTCTTGTTTTAGGTACTGTAGAAAAGAAGGCTACTTAGCACTTACGGTAGGAACTTTTGTGTACAGTATTCCCTCTGTTCTACTGGGTGCCTTCCTATAATGCAGGTCAAAGGCATGGTATGGTAAGTGAAACCATATTCGTGGAGTTGTCAACTCCTTTGCCACTAATATCACTGAGATGATGACAGAGTACATTTTCGTGCAGGTCGCCGATTGGAATGTATCGGTTTCTAAACTGAAGCTAATTACATTCGAATCTCGATAATTTGAACTTGAAGGGGCCCGAAAATGTGTTTGAATTAAAAGAAGTTTAAATTAATGAAAGCTAAGTAAACAGAGGGCTCTCCATGCAGTGATGCCTGTGCATTGAGCTAACACACGAGGGGAAGTTTCAGAAGACTTACATTAATTCACAAATCACAGGGCGTCCGTCATTAATTGAAGTACAGTTTAACCTGCTTATAAGAAACCTCCATATAAGGAATTCCTCGATATAATGAAGTTTTTCAATTTCTCGTCGTCGCTCCATAGAAGCACATGTATTTGCGACCTCTATGTAACAAAGTAACAGCACGAGACAGCCTTAATATAACGAATTTTCCCCACGGACGATCTAGAAAGTTTGCTCCGCGTTTTGGTACGAGCGTGCATTTTCTGCAACTGCAAAGCGGCGGCGGCGCGCACGGTGCACAAGGCGAGAGCGAGCGCTTGTCATTGCGTGCAGGTGCGCGCGAGGCGGGCAGGCGGGCCTGCACGCCGCGAGCCAGCGTGGCCGCCGTTCTCACCGCCGTGGGTGCATGCGCTGGTGTGCACTCCCCCCCCACACACACACACACTCCAACCCCAAATAAAAAGCAGTGCTACGCTTTTAGTTAGCAAGCCGCGTTGCCTATGGAGGGCGCTTTACGGAATAGTTTTCCGCGGTGTCCGTGTCCTTCGCTCTTGGTTTTCAACGCCGCGCGCGTGTGCAGTTTCACTGCGCGCATGGTGGCCCCGGCGACGTTCAGCTTTTTTTTTTCTTACAATTTTTTTCGCCACCGCCACTATTCACCGTGTGTATATATATATATATATATATATATATATATATATATATATATATATATATATATATATATATATATATATATATATATATATATATATATACGGTCGATTATTGTCCCCCGGTCCTGAGACGACCCGCGTTTTACGACGAAATCGCCTTGGTCCCGGCAAAGCCCCTATAGAACTAATGTATTGAAAACCTCAATTCTACAACGCTTCATGCCGGCCCCGCCTCGTACGACGCTTAGCTGGACAGTCCGAGAAAAAAAAAAAATTACGATGACGCACACTGCGGCCGGATGAAAAAAGTCAGGAAACCGAGGAACCGAGTTCGTTCCTCCGCATGTTCTAGCATACTAACCGTGCTGCCACCACAGGACCTCTTCAATTTTTCGACACGCTGTCGGCCATAGCTAGCCAGAGCCAACGTTGTCCAGAGCCAGCCGGAGCCTATTCGTTTTGCTTAGTCGCATTGCACTGCGCACTTCCGTTGGGGCCTTCTTTTTGTTTTGTTTTCTGCCTCCTTTCGGGTGGTTTTGTAGTGACAGCTGTGAGCAGGTAACATGGCAGATAATTTCGAGCTCTCTTTCTAGTCTGCGATAACTTTCACTAGATTTCGCGTCATTGTACCGGACGTGTTGAACGGCGATTGTTGAGCCTGTCTACGTTTGGGACAGCCGCGGGAACCAGAACTAGCTGCTGTCTAGCTACCAGAGAGCTGGGGAGTTTTAGCCCCTCGCGATTGGTCGAAGCTTGCGCAGACGTACGCGCTTGCAAAAATCGAATGGGCCCACTGCTTTGTTGCCTTTCAGCCATTCCTTCACGCGTTTGCCTCATCGGTGGGTTGTGCGCCGCAGCTGCTGCGTCTACGCGCACAATTTTCAGTATTCGGACATTGGTGTGCGAGGAATCTTTCGAATTCTTGGTCGCGAGTGCTGCGTCTCGCAATGTCGCGGAACCGAAAACCGCTGACGCTTGGAGAAAAGCTTTGCATAATCGAGGAGGCGTAGAAGCGGAGCGTAGCAACAAAGGCCAGCATTGCCCACGACCTGAACATTCCCGAGTCGTCGCTGAAAACGATCGTCGCAAAGAAAAACAGCATCCTACTAAATGCGGCAAAGTTCGGCCTGAACAGGAAGGCCACGAAAGATGGCAAATATGCTGCCATGGAGACGGCCCTCGTTGAGTCGTTGCGTCAGGCCCGCAGTTCAGGAATTGCCGTGGATGGCGCAATTTTGAAGGAGGCGGAGACAGTTGCATTGCGCTGCGGCATTGATGACTTTAAAGCCTCCAATGGCTGGTTGGATCGCTTTAAAAAACGCAGTGGAGTTGTGTACAGCTGTTGCTGTGAAGAAAGTTCGTCAGTCAGCTCCGACACTGTCGAAAAGTGGACTGCATTGCTGCCAGAATTGATATGGCAATACAAGCCGTTCGACGTGCTCAACGCGGACGAAACTGGATTATTTTATAATATGCAGCCAGAGCAGACATTAACATTCAAAGGAGAGAGCCGTCACGGGGGTAAGCGAAGCAAAGAGCGTCTTACTGTATTGCTTTGCACTTATGAAGACGGCTCAGAAAAGCTTCCTGCCCTCGTGATCGGCAAGTTTAGAAAGCCGTGATGCTTCAAGAATTTGAAAAGACTGCCGTGCCAGTACATGTTCAACAGGAAAGCCTGGGTGATGGCTGCTATGTTTTCAACATATCTGCAGCAGCTGGACTCAAAAATGAGTTGCAAAAGATTTCAGCTATTGCAGAGATCGGACGATTAGTAATAACGACTTCGGCACGGTTGTGGCAGTGCGTTAATGGATAAGCTTTAGAGAAGAGCGGTTGCACAATAGCCGGTGGCGATGAACGGGCCATTTTGACTTACCGCCGGCAATCTTATCTCAATCATCTGCAGATAGCTTCTCCGCATAGTAACGGCGGTCAAGCGCGTCATGCTGCCTTTAGCAAGTTCGCCGCCGTTGCGTCGTGTGAGGCTGCTGCGCGCGTTGCTCGTAAAATTTTTTTGTTGTGTTAAACTAACAGGCTACTTGCCGCACCTGAGCACGATTCTAAGTGACGCATGCACGAAGAAAGAACAAAGCACGCATACATCACTGCAAGCGAACTGGGCATGCGACGGTGTGAGTGCGAGGTAAGCGATGTGCTGCATGCAACTAGCCAGGAATGATTGGTTCGACGTAGCGGTACCAGGCTTCAGTGGAATAGCGAGAGTTCATTGCGAACGGGGTGAATTCACTCGGAGCAAACGGGTGTTGTTTAACCCACGAAAGGCCCTAATTGTCAGTGGAGGGGCTGTTCTTCGCACTTTTGAGTAAAAATGCACAAGGAAAAAAATGGTTTCGCCATTAAGTGCACGTTTTATGGGCGGGTCAATATACAACAACTACGGTATTACGACGATTTATCGCGGCACTTTCGAGTTCATTATAAACTGCTTCGACTGTATTCGTAACAGCGCCTTTTTTTTTTTTTTTTTCTTCACAAACAAGCACTTAAACGCGCGAGCTCTTGCCGTTTCCAGAGGACAGCAAACATCAAGCTAGCTCGACCGTTCCCCTAAATGGGTGTACATCGACAAAAGTATCGGAAGGCGTCCAGGGCATGCCCTTACCCTTTACACACGCCACATACTAACGCCCCGTGCAGATTGGAAGAATCCGGGACAATTGTAGTGGGCGGGTCGACTACTTCTGTAGACGAACCAGCGAGACGAGTCCCTTTTCCCTAGCTACTGTACCCTAACTGTCGCTGTGGTACGTGCTACATGCCGACAATCATATTGAATATTTGGGAGAACCTGGAAGGATTTAATCAGAGGCGATAGAGGGTAGGGCGAGTGGCGAACTCGGCCAAGAAGTTATGATGTCGAGTGGTTCGAGTCGCTAGTATGTGCGGTCAGTTGATCGTGAAGAATCGAGTGATGACACCATCCGTGCATGTTTTGTTGCGAGTCGCGGGATCACGATCAGCGCTGGTGTTCAAGTGTTTGCTGGAACAGACAATATTTGAGAACCGTTCAGAGGATTGTGGCTACACACTAGTGGTGCATATTCAAGACCTCGGAGTGTTCTTGTACAGTCTGTAATATACAGTTAAACCTGCTTATAACGCACCTCCATATAATGAATTCCTCTATATAACAAAATTTTTCTATTCCAAGCAGTTACTCCATAGAAGCACATGTATTTGTGACCTCTATGTAACAAAGTAACAGTGGAAAACAACCTTGATATAACAAATTTTCCCCACGGACAATCTAGGAAGTTCGCCCCGGATTTGGTACGAGCATGCGTCTTCCGCGGGCACTTAGCCGCTGAAGCGCGAAGCGGTGGCTGCGCGCTTGGAGCAGCAGGTGAGAGCGAGCACTCGTGATTGCGCACAGGTGCGCATGAGGTGGGCAGGCAAGCCTGCGCCTCACAAGCTGGCGCTGCCATCGTTCTTGTCACCGTGGACGCATGCGCGGATGTGCCCCTTCTCCCACCAAACCAAAAAAGTTGGCAGTGCCACGCTTTTAGTTAGCGTCACATACGTGGTGAATAATAATAATGCAGAATAATAATGCAGTTTTTTTATCACTAAATAACTGTTCTGGGTTTGCTCTGCTTTCAGTTCTGGTTTTGTTAAAATTCTGCTTTTATTTTTAAATTATCGCACCGAACCTGCATAGAACAAAACCCTCTTTATATAGAATGTTTTCTGGAATTTGTAAATTTACTTATATCTGGCTTGGGGTTTATGTGATTCCATTTGTAGCACGATAGTTCGTTCCCGTTCTTCTAAATACCCTCCAAGTGATTTTGTGGATTGTACCTGATGCCTGCCGAGTGTGCAAGTTTGTGTGATGCAGA